CGGGGGCCGGACCGCTGGGGGCGGGGCGGGGCGCCACCAGCCAATCACCGTGGTGTTGTTGAAACTGAAAATACTACATTATGCTAATCGCAGCGGGGCCCGCGCGCGCGGGGGTGGAGCCCGCGCGTATAAAGGGGCGCAGGCGGCGGGGCGTTCCACAGGCTCAGTGCTCTGTGCTCGAGGGGTGCCGGCTAGGCCCGATCGAGAGAGCAAGCAGGCAGGCAGGCAGCTCCGAGGGGGCGCGGCTGCGGCCAGACAGAACCAGCGAACAGGACACGGGAGCAGTCCACCACCCGACAGCCAGGTAGCCGCAGCGCCCGCTCTCCCAACGCGCCCCTTTGCAAGCGCGGACTTGGCTCTGCTGGGTCTCGCTCGCGCCCGGCCTCCGCCCTCCTCTTCTCTCTTCCTCCTTCTCTCGCTCCCCTCTCCTCTCTCGCCACCCGGGCTCGCGCAGCCCGGATCATGTCCGACGTGTACCTCCGCAGCACCTCAGCGATGGAGCGCCTGGTCAACGGTGAAAACCTCCCTGTGGTGGCACGCTCGCGTGTCTGCCGTAACCTCTTCGGGCCCGTGGACCACGAGGAGCTGGGCCGCGAGCTGCAGATGCGCCTGGCCGAGATAGCTGCCGAGGACCAGAACCGCTGGGACTTCGACTTCCAGCGCGACGTGCCGATCCGGGGACCCGGGCGCCTGCAGTGGACCGAGGTGGCCAGCGAGTCCGTGCCCGCCTTCTATCGCGAGACGGTGCAGGTGGGACGCTGTCGCCTGGTGCTGGCGTCCCGGCCACCCCCGGTGGTCGTGGCTGTCATCCCACGCCCCCTCCCGCGGGCTGCTGAGTCCCTCGACGGCCCAGACCAGGAGCAGGGGCAGATGCCGCCGCCCCGCGTCCCGGCCCCGGTGCCCGCTCCGCCCCCGGCCCCTGTCGCGGTCCGAGCGCTGGCTCCTGTCGCGGCTCCGCCGCGGGCCCGAGTTCTGGCCCCGGCGCTGGCACGGGCTGTGCCCCCGGT